TCTTCGAGCCAGCTCGAAATTCAACTCCAGCTCGAAATTCAACTTTTGAAAATTTTGAATTTCGATCTTCGAGCCAGCTCGAAATTCAACTCCAGCTCGAAATTCGTCTTTTGAAAATTTTGAATTTCGATCTTCGAGCCAGCTCGAAATTCAACTCCGGCTCGAAATTCGGGTTTTGAAAATTTTGAATTTCGATCTTCGAGCTGGCTCGAAATTCAACACCAGCTCGAAATTCAACTTTTGAAAATTTTGAATTTCGATCTTCGAGCTGGCTCGAAATTCAACTCCAGCTCGAAATTCGCGTTTTGAAAATTTGAATTTCGATCTTCGAGCTGGCTCGAAATTCAACTCCAGCTCGAAATTCAACTTTTGACAATTTTGAATTTCGATCTTCGAGCTGGCTCGAAATTCAACTCCAGCTCGAAATTCAACTTTTGAAAATTTTGAATTTCGATCTTCGAGCCAGCTCGAAATTCAACTCCAGCTCGAAATTCAACTTTTGAAAATTTTGAATTTCGATCTTCGAGCTGGCTCGAAATTCAACTCCAGCTCGAAATTCAACTTTTGAAAATTTTGAATTTCGATCTTCGAGCTGGCTCGAAATTCAACTCCAGCTCGAAATTCAACTTTTGAAAATTTTGAATTTCGATCTTCGAGCTGGCTCGAAATTCAACTCCAGCTCGAAATTCAGCTCTAGTTTACTTTGAATTTCGATCTTCGAGCTGGCTCGAAATTCAACTCCAGCTCGAAATTCAGCTTTAGTTTACTTTGAATTTTGATCTTCGAGCTGGCTCGAAATTCAACTCCAGCTCGAAATTCAGCTTTAGTTTACTTTGAATTTTGATCTTCGAGCTGGCTCGAAGTTCAAAGCTAGCTCGATATTCACTATAAACTGAATTTCGATCTTCGATCTTCGATGTCAGTGCTAACTTCTCGATACTGATAGAAATACATGTATAAGAAAATGATAAGCGTCAATTTGGTAGGTAGTTGGTAGTTACCTATCAGCTGATTGTTGGTTATTCGTAATTCCCCTCTATCTAACAGGTGATAGTTGGTAATTCAATCCACTATCACCAGCATAAAATGTTAGAACACATCATACATTTTTAAACACAGAATAAAGGAGGGGAACTAGTTGTTAATTCGAGCAAATCCCCATTTACCTACAAAAAGTTCGATTTACCAAGCACCTTCTGGTAGGTAGTTGGGTATTCACACAAATAACCAACTGAGTCCCTGGTCGACGTAGGGAGATGAGTTGATACCATTTGGAAGAAATCATCTATCTTGTCATATATCTGTTACTTTTATTCAGTAAAAAACCTAAAATAAAATTTACTTAAATTTTAATAGAAATAAAAATATATTGCGTGACTAACACAGTAAGGGCTCTTTTTGCATATTTTGACATTTATTTCAGAAATTTAAGTGGATTGAAAGTTTTGTTTGCAATATGTTAATTTCTTTCTTTGTTCACTTGAAAAAAATTTACCTTTAATTTAAACTACGTTTTTAAAATTTCATGAAAATTAGCATGCGTCCGGAGGTTTGCTGCTTTAACATATTTCTTTTCAACTTATTTCTGCCAACAGAAATATTTCTAACTCGTGAAACTAGATTAAACAGTCTTGTTTCAAACCACCATATCAATTACAACTAGTATTGATTTCAGCCTACATATTGTCAATTTTAGAACTGCCTTTCTGTTTAACGGACCATGCCTTTTCTTGCATGTTTTTTTATTTTATTTTTATTGCCTGTCAACAGTCTACTTATTTTCCTTTTATTACTCGTTTGTGTAAAGTCCTTTATCATAACCCCTCGATGTCAGCCATTGTAAAACACTTTAGACCTAACAGCTATATTAACTATTTAGGTGTGAAAGTTCAATTGTAATGTGATCATGTATAAAGGACCTTCAAAAATGGTTATAAATCAGAGCGGGCGCTGTGGTGCAGTAGTAACACTGTCTGACTACAAATCTAGGGGTTGCGAGTTCGACCCCCCCCCCCCGCTACTCCACTAAAAATACTAACAATCTAAAAACTAAAATTAATAAATAAAAACAATTAATCACACACTGATCTGACAAACTACTCATACACGGACTCACATACTAACACAGGACACTATGCACTACTCACACTAACACGCAAAACACTATTCACACACTGACTTACAAGACACTACTCACACACTGACGCACAAGCCACTACTCACATACAGAACACTACTCACACACTAACATACAGAACACTACTCACACACTAACATACAGAACACTACTCACACACTAACATACAGAACACTACTCACATACAGAACACTACTCACATACTAACACACATAACACTACTCACACACAAACACACAGAACACTACTCACACATACACACTACTGACATACAGAACGCTACTCACACACAAACACACAGAACACTACTCACACATACACACTACTGACATACAGAACGCTACTCACACACAAACACACAGAACACTACTCACACATACACACTACTCACATACAGAACACTACTCACACACAAACACACAGAACACTACTCACACATACACACTACTGACATACAGAACGCTACTCACATACAGAACACTACTCACTAACATACACACTACTCAAACACAAACACCAGAACACTACTCACACACTTACACACAGAACACTACTCACACACTAACATACAGAACAATACTCACATACAGACACTACTCACCTACAGAACACTACTCACACACTAACATACAGAACACTACTCACACACTAACACACAGAACACTACTCACATATAGAACACTACCGAAACATAGAACACTACTCACATACAGAACACTACTCACATACTCACACACATTACACTACTCAAACACAAACACACAGAACACTACTCACACATACACACTACTGACATATAGAACGCTACTCACATACAGAACACTACTCGCACACTACTCGCATACAGAGCAATACTCACACACCAGAACACTACTCACAAACTAACACACAGAACACTACTCACATACAGAACACTACTCACACACTTATATACAGAACAATACTCACACACTAACATACAGAAAACTACTCACACACTAACACACAGACCACTACTCACAGACAAAACACTTCTCACATACAGAACACTACTCACACACTTACATACAGAACACTACTGACAGACAGAACACTACTCACACACTAGCATACAGAAAACTACTCACACACTAACACACAGACCACTACTCACAGACAAAACACTTCTCACAGACAGAACACTACTCACACACTAACATACAGAACACTACTCACACACTAACATACAAAACACTACTCACACACTAACACACAGACCACTACTCACAGACAAAACACTTCTCACATACAGAACACTACTCACACACTAACATACAGAACACTACTCACATACATCACACACTAACATACTTACACACTGACACACAAGCCACTGCTCAAACACTGACAAGCAAGACACTACTCACACACTATGGCATAGGTCTCTACTCAAACACTGACACTCAGCACAATTCTTACAGGACACTACTGAAACACTGATACGAGTAGAATATTTTTTGGACTACATGTGCCACAAGTTGAAAACTAAAAATCAACAATGGGCCATAATTCTGTTAAATTTGGTCGCAGCAAAAATTCCTTCCTTTTCTACCATCTACACATTAAGGTTGTTAATCCCTGGAAGTTTAAGCAAAATCTGCCATCCGGTTTAAGAGAACTTGCGTTCACAAAATTTCTGCATAGTATATAGTGAAAAAATCAACAAAGAGCCATAATCCTGTTAAATTTGGTCGCAGCAAAAATTCCTTCCTTTACTACCATCTACACATTAAGGTAGTTCATCCCTGTAAGTTTAAGCAAAATCTGCCATCCGGTTTAAGAGGAGTTGCGTTCACAAGATTTCGGGACGTACGGGACGGACGGACGGACGGACAGACGGACGGACGGACAAGTGCAACGCTATATGCTCCCACATTGTGGGGGCATAAAAAGTCAAGTTTACTTTTGTATCCAGAAAAGAAATATCTGTAAATCACGTTTAATGCATTTAGTTATTTAGTAAATATTGCATTTTTTCAGACCTTGAAATTATGGTACCATTAAACTTGCTGATCAAAGACAACTGCAATACTTCTTACGACGATAGACAAAAGTACATCCCTTTAGTTCTGGTTTAAACAGGTACACATTGCATGATTTAAAAAACATAATATATGACACTAATCTTGTTATTACGTCACTTCCTACCTGTGTAAAAAGCAAGAGAGACAAACAGTCCCATACTGATCTTAAAGCTTCATAAATTTTTTCTTAGTCTTGTAACAATATATAAAGCAAGGGGCCAAACAATTTCCTTTATAATCTAAGCCCACAAGCCCGCAAACTCCTGAAAGCAAATTTTTTCAAGATTAATGCTCTGCTTTTCCCGGGACTCTAGAAATTTGGACAATTTGGCAACATCCGAGGAATTTTAAAATGAAAGAAAACTTTTCGCTGACAATTTTTAAGTTGATACGTTATTAAATGTCCAGATTGTATTAGATCTATCAAGAAAAAAATTTTTTTGAAAGAACCGCTTTGTTTGATACACTAAACAAACAAAACAAATGATTTCAAGCTGATCATGGTTATCAGTGCTATTTTTTTTCCTTCCCAAAAGGGGCCCTTTCTAAAAATCGAACTTTTAGGGAAAAAGGAAAAACCCTTCTAAGTTTCAAAACCTATCTTGTTAAAAGAAAATCGTTATTGTTACATTATACAATATTTTTCTTATTTAATTTATTAAAATCGTAAAAACATCTATAAATATTAATTTTAAAAATAAAATCCTGATCCGACAAAAACATGGCATAAAAATTTTTTATAACGAAAAAACCCCCAAATATCAGGGGAAACATAAAAATTTTACAATACAAATGTATTGTTTCGATTAAAATTATTGAAGTCAGTACAGTACAAAGAAGTAAATAATTACATCAGAGTATCCTCTTGGACATAGTGATTGTTCTAGTAACACCAGAATTGACACGTACACTCCAAATCCGGTCCCAAACGCCAAATTTAAAACAAGGTACGCCTTATTTCTAATTAGCTACAATTATAAGAAAACACATAGTTGAAATAATGTTTAAAAAATGTACACTTTACTATTAATCAGTGTAGTAAATGCACATTATTCTATTTTTATATCATCCTTTTAAAATATACCCTTTTTTTACTGCGAGTCATATTGCAGCAATACTGTTGAAGTCCTTACAAAGTTAAAGGGACTCCACTGAGGTATTTTGACGTGACGGGACTGAAAATAATCATTCGTGATTAACGTTCCATTTGATGACGGTCTAGATAACTTATGCGCAAAATTCTAGTTCATTTGCTCAGTCCGTTTTACCAGAATGATTATTTAAATAATTATTGTGAAAATGACCAAAAGTATAAAAACAAAACCTTTTCAATGAATTCGGGCGAAAAACAGAGCAGAAATACGAAAAAACTTATTTCTGAGTATATTTGATAATACTCTTTTGCATTTTTTCCGAGTGACCCAGATGGTATAACTAAGAAATTTAAATTTTATGCATCTATATATAAATACCACAATGGAGTTCCTTTAAAGATGTAACAAAACACAGTAGATAAACTGCCTTCACAGGACTTTTCATTGTAATCGTAATTGTAATATTGCAATGAACAATTACTATGTATTTTAAAATCTAACGTATATAGCAACGTTAAGTTGTTTTTTTTTTCTGTTTTTTTTTTTTTTTTTTTTTTTTTAATTCCGTTTTGGGTTTGTTTAAATCTCACACAGATATGATACTCCATATAATTCTTTCTTAAAGAATATAAGTTTAATCTTTGTAACTGATAAGACCACTTATTTACCTTTTTAAGTCCAGGATAGAAGGCTTTGTTTACTGTAGCAGCACTGGCAGAGGGCGGTGTGGGCGGCACCGATTTTCTGACACCGATTGTTGTCACCAGTGTAAGACATAGAGCAGGGACAGATAGTACCCAGAGCTAAAGTGGAAATAATAAAGATTAGTAAATTAATTTCAAAGTATTTTCAAAGAACTGTCCGTAAATATGTGTGCGTGGTGTTTTCATTTTCTTAACTATTGTTTTAAAATATATACTGTGCTCCTCTTAGTTCACGATACTTAACACTTTAAAATAGAAAAGGAAACAAATAATGAACCTATGGTACAAAAACTGTCATATGCTGTAACATTTAGGTATTTTTTTTACTATATGACACAAGGAAACAACAATATATTCAATTAAAATTAGTTTTAATGGGCCAGATGTAGACCATGTGTCGGCCATTTTGAAAACATAATGTCATCATTTAAATCGCGGTAAATGGTGTTACACTGTAGTTTTTTCATGTTTCAGTTCAAATTTCTACATGGTATACTGCTCAATTTTAAATATCAAAACTATTTTTACTTTGTTACTCAAAATTTATTTTTTCAACAAACAAGAACATTTAGAAAATTGTGATTGTTTCCAACATATGCAAAAATTGTATGGACTATTGTAGCTTTTTGCAGAAATTTGTAAAATTTTTGTTCTATTTTACGTAAAAATCTAGAGATTTAAAATATTTTGCACAAAAACTTTGTTGTTTTGGTGTATGAATAAATTATATCAATTCTGACAAATTTTAACACTGGTCACATGGAAATATGCCATTACCGTGAACTAAGTGATGACACGGAATTAGTTATGTTGAGTATACTTAAAAATTTGGTGAAAAAAACGAAGGCCGACAAATATGGTAAAAGGTTGCAGACTCAGTGTAACGCCCTGTTCTGACCTTGCAATAAAAGCAAGTGTGTGGTGTGGGGTGATGGCCAGGCATATATTGTCGGATATCATTTTTACTAAATAGAATACACTACAATTTTTAATCAATACACAACACATGGATTTATCTATCAGGAAAACAAATGTTCCATAATCTGGTATCATTATTTATTAGTTATACGGCTAGTTATACGGCTATTGACACGGTCTATGGTCCATTAAAAACTGTTGCAAGCTGATAACATTCGAGTCTTACAATATCATTATACGGCACAATCCCTTTCTTTGATTAAAAGAGAAATTATGACATAAATGTGCAACAGCTGTGTACATACATAATACAGACGACAAAGTTGTCCAATGAAATGTTACGTTATAATCGCGCACAGCGATAAATTTTTGAATAACTTGCTTAATTCCCCGTAAACATACACATTAAAAAAATCCCGATGGAGTTACCGGGGTTTAATTTTCTTGAAACGAATGGAAAAAAACGCAATGTATACCACCCCTAATTTTTGAGTGAATTGGGTTTATATGGAAAGGGCTTAATGCAAAAAAAACACGTTTTTAGTACTAAAAATCCGTGATATCATACGAGACAAAAAAATGAAATATTTGTTGGTAGCCGATAACAGATTGTTCTATAACAAAATATTATTTTTCATAATACATGTATATAAATGTTCATACTAAATCACTTCAAAAATTTATTTTCAAGAAATATTTCATAAGAATATCCAAATGATACATTTCAATTTTTTTTCTTTTTGCATTCTTCAATATTTGAAATACTCATGGAAAACGTGTCCATTGTAAACCAATCCACATTAAACTTTATAACTAATTTGAAAAAAAACATAACTACTCCGTACACCCTAATTCTAGCATCCATGTAGTTATGCTGGATGTCAATGACATATGGCGACTTTCCAGCTTATGGGTGGACCAGGGATAACTCAGATGCTGCTCCGTGCATTATTTCAAACATGAGTGTGCACCACGGTAGAATTCCAGCCCTTCGTACATATGTAAACTACATATGGCAACTTCCTTACGCAAAAGATTCCAATATCAAAAGAAGAATTCGAACTTACAGCGGCCAGGTGCTTGTGGTTTGCAGATCTATGATTTACATGCCATGTCATGGTAAAATAATTAAAAATATTCACCATTAATGGGATATCTGATTTGACATCGACCATTTGTGGCACGAGTATGAAAGCAACCATGTTTCCCAACGCATCCGCTGCAAAATAATGTTAAAATGAGTATATTAATATAACTAAATATGTAAGAAATAGGTCTGAACTTTAGTCAGATTGATTACACTTGTATTTTATTATTTAAAGACAAATTAAGTCTCTGAAATACTTTTTTCTGTAGGAACGGCAAAAACATATTTTATAAGGTTTTAACAATGGATTTAGAACATGAAAAGCTTGTTTATAGATTAATTGGCCAAAAAAAAAAAATCATCGTTACAAACATGCAGTTAAATAACTGCTAGGGTTATAAAAAGCTCATAGCTTATTAAACTGGGACATAGGCAGAGTGTTGGAGTGTGAATCGGGCGACCCGGGTTCGATTCCTGGCCGGTACATGTGATATTCGATGTGATTGATCATGAAATGCTTTCTAAGGTCATTCGCACTGTACCTCTGCTCCGGTATATACAGAAGTAAACAATTCCTTGCAAAAGTGAAGGCAACTAGTACTGGTAAACTGCTTGAACATGCCAAGGATCGATGCGGTGGCCGAACTGTGCTCTGGTAAATTCTATGTGGCTTACTGTCGTGAGACTGAATGAATATTACCCACATACACTACTTGGTCATATAAATTGACAAAATATTCTAACATATACACAAGTATTCCAATATTCTAACGCTGAAGGCTTTGAAGACTTACTAATGCCTCCAAGCATGTTTGCCAGCGCTCGTTGATTTTCTGGGAACCATATCGCAGCCAGTTTAGTCGGCATCATCATAACGAACTTCTCGCCGCACGCGACCAGGATCTGGCCAGTGAGTACAACACTATATTTATTCTCAAGCGGGACGAAATCCATAGCACTGATATTCCTCAGGAGAGACCCAACACCGTTCGTCCATGCCGCTATCATAAACTGAAATATAAAGTAAAGAATAAACTGAAATATAAAGTAGAGTATAAACTGAAATATAATGTAAAGAACAAAATGAAATATAGAGTAAAGAATGAAATAAAATATAAAGTAAAGTACACGAAGTATAAACGAAAGTATAAAGTAAAGAGTTATCTGAAAAATAAAGTAAAGTATAAACTGAAATATAAAGTAAAAAATAAGCTGAAATATTAAGTAAAGAATAAGCTGAAATATCAAGTTAAGAATAAACCGAAATATAAAGTAAAGAATAAACTGAACTATAAAATAAAGAATAAACTGAAATATAATGAAATTCACATTTTTATATTTTGTAATGACATCGAAGTACGGTAAAAAAGATCAACAACTCTAAAAGAAGAATCACGACTATCTTATTTTAAACAAATTACCCAATTGTATGCACTTTTTCGAATAGCAAATAAGAATTTGATGTTTAAAGTTTTGTTTGTCAAGAATGAATAAATTTACTTCGGAACTTTTATCGCTGTCTCTTATTTTGAACAAACTTTAACGTGCAATTTTTATTGTTATACTCGAGTCTTTGGTTGGGTTTTACATTGCATTCATGCAGTATAGGCTATATGGCGACTTTCCAGTTTTACTGTTGCAGGAAGACCTCAGGTGCTCCTCTGCACATTATTTCAGGCGCAAACGGTGCACCTAAGTAGAACCACTGACGTTCCGTAAGCTAGTGGGAAAGGTGAACAAAATAAACAACCAATGAGATCAACGTATCTTACAATCTTATATACTTATATATCTTATATAATCTCTATGTTGTATATGCAAAAAAAAAAGAAAATACGGACTTACTTAACATAATGGCGATAAAATTGTACTAAAAAGCGTGAAAAATAAGTTACTCCGTGCTTGACAACGATAAAATCTCAACAGGATTAACAGGAAGATTGTAACAATTGCTTAACATCGAGAAAGTACTTAATACTTAACAGCACAAATGTTGTTCATTGATTAACAGTGTCATACTTGCGCATGGCTTAACAGCGAGATAGTTAGCCATGGCTTAAATCTGGAAGGGCTTGAAAATAAGACATAATAAATTAAATAAACATGCTGTGTATTATCTTACGGTAAGCCGAAGACCAAAAGTATCCGTTAACCAAGCGGCTGTCAGACCAACAGGTATGGTTATAAGGACAAAACACATGGACAACAGGTTGAGTTGAAATGTTGAAATCTGGTAAAATTCTACCGACACATCAGCTGCTGCGGCAAAAGTTATCCAATTCTACAAGAAATGTAAAAACATGGTTCATTTATCACTTATATTTTTTTCTACATTATATATTTTAAAGATGTAGATTCGTGCTATTTTTCACAATAAAAAAAACATTAAGATATAGTCAAATGAACAAAGGAAGTAACATATATATTGCAAAGGCACGTAAAATCTATGAAAAATTTCCACAAAAAAAGTCAGAATATGCAACAAAAAAAGAAGACTTTTATACTTCGTTAGTCACGCAGTAGAAATATGGTGATAAATACTGGAAAAAATCAGTCATTATTTGCATATAACATGTCAATTGTGAATAATATCTAATACTTCTTTCTCTTAATCTTAGTACATTTTTCCCAAGGTTGATTTTTAAAATGTTTTGGCTCGTCTGGAGGCATGCAGCTTTAAAAGTTATATTAAGCCTCACTAATGAGTACAATTTGTACTCGTATATCTAAGAAATATTTAAGTTAAAATGTTTATATAAAGGATTTAGAATTAGTATTGTGTATGGAAGTTTGTAAGAAGTAAAAAGTTAGCTCTTTCCGAGGAATAATGTGTCCTTTAGAAATATGAAAACAGGGGTACATATTTATTATTCAATTATTTCACAGAATGGATTGTAAGCGTATAGAACAATTAATTTGAGTGTCATAAATTTGAGGTCTGAAATTGAAACTTTGAAACTTTAGTGTTATTGTTCACTGTAACACCTTATACCTTGTAGTAACATGATCCCATCCACTTACAAATACCATTGTGAGTGTTTAAAAGATAAAACATTAAATGGGGAGTTATCAATTAATTTTTAGTTTGAATGCCAAACATAGCATAAGTTCAAGTCATCTGAATATAACCATAATTTCAAATATTTGCCTATCAAACCAACGCCTCCATGCAGTTTGGCCAGGCATCACTCAATACAAAACTCCCTTAAACTTTGAAATAACATAGGAAGCAGTATATGTTCGCATAATATTATGCTAAAATGACCTCATGATAACACCTCACCCAAAGTTATATTTTCACTTATGGTGTTCGGTGAACAATCACAATATAAGGGCTTGTGGCGAAAATACATTAAGAAGTAATATCCAAATATTGAGATGTTTACGTTGTAAGTTATAAAGTCATTTATAATTATGATGGATTACGCAGAAACTGGAAATCTGGAAATATGTCCATGGGAAACGGATACTTCGCCCCTACCAACATTCCATTGTTTGCCAGTCCCCGGGAGGAAAGCGTGACAGCAGAACAGCGGGACGGACGGACGGACAAGGGTAAATCTATATGCTTAAGTGGCGTGAGGGCATATCATCTCGCTTACTCGGAAAGTGTGAACAAATTTTTACGCAATTTCCAACAAGCAGGGAGAGTGTGAACACAACTTTATGAGTTTCCATCTACTAGCGCGAGTGTGAACACAATATTTTTAGGTCATTTCCAAGTGAACTCAACTTTAAGCAATTTCCTACAGCATTGCGAAAGTTTATACATTTTTACGCAGAAATGAGTGCACAGTCGACTCCGCTTATAACGAACTCAATGGGACATATCAATATCGTTCGTTATATCCGAAGTTCGCTAAAAGCGATGTAGCAACAACTTGCTGACTTATTTGGGTGGACAATTTTACCTTTGTTTTATATAATTATGCACATGTACATTTTGATGTCGTTGCCAATTTTACACCGTAATGTTACAAAGTTATTTAATTAGTTATTCAAGGCTCAAATTTTAGCAGAGTATATAAAGTACGTGTAAATCAATTTTAGCAGAGTATATAATGGTAAGATATTTTGACCGATTATATACAGTAATTTAATTTTAGCAGAGTATATACGGTAAGTACATTTTGCTCATTATCATCATCATCATCATAATACATTTAAATATCGTAAAATATTCAAGTTAGCTTCAATCCATTAATTTCGAAACTAAAATGCAAGAAAATGCTAGAAATGGCTTAAATGCATAAAGTCGCTACATTTGTGTAAAAATTCATGAAGCGGCTCATAACTGCTTTAATTCAGATATGAAATTTATGTAACTTAGGTTTAATGGTGACAGCATGAAATTCAACTTAATTACATGTGTTTAGTTTAAAGAATAAATTTTGAAAATCAATAACATAAATCAAATCAATGATAAAATAGTTTATATCATTGCTACTTATGTATTGATAAACCCTTTATAAATACATGTACGAGTATGTTTAAATACTAAAACATTAATATAAAATGTAAAAACACATAAATGAATTAATGGACATACAAGAAAGTCGTTAAGTGGAAATAGAAGTCAGCGAAGTATTTTTTTTTATTTTAATTAACACCGGTAATATCTCAAGTCCCATTTTGATAATATCCCCATGCCATAACTGCTATAGATAATGTTATTTGAACGATCCGGTTATTTCTTTACAAAAGAACTTTAAGCTATATGCCTTCAGATGAGTCCAAATATTTCAATAAAATCAAACTTGAGAAAAATGTACTAAGATGATAGAAAAAGTGAACAGTTTTAAAATTCAAGTGATATTTTACATGTTATGTGCGATTAATGACAGATTTTTCAGTATTTACAATCAAATTTCTACTACGTTTGGTCCATATTGGAAGATCTGTATATAAATCATTAATGATCATCTTGATAGTATCTAGTATCATACATAAAATAAACCTCGAAAGAAATATATATGTAAGTTGTTGGAAAGTGTGAGGTACATGTCGCGATATAACTTACTATATATAGCAGTTAATAAATTGTTTAAGAATAACATAGTATTGTTCATTTCAAATAAATGATCATATAAAATCACTTAAAACACTAGTTTACAGGAAATCTTTAAAGTGAATTAGTCTATAATGACAGGTCTGTAATATCATTAATAAACATGTGGATAGTATGTTGATAGTATTTGTTATCATAGGTGACGATTTATACGTATATGTTGTTCGTAAGTAAGAGATCTTGATATAATAAAACATATTCATATATCCTGAAAGAACATTGATACCACAAAAAGAAGAAGTTTTAATAACATGCTTAAAGGAACTCCAATGAGGTCCATATCCCTAAAGACATAAAATTTGAATTTCTTAAAAAGAAAGGTACCTTAAACAGAAATATACCGAAAGATTATTAAGAAAGATACTTGTAAAAAAATGAAAATCGTATTTTTGCGCTATTCTTAGCTCAATTGTAGTGAAAAGCGTTGCAACGCTTCTCAATTATGGGTGATCTTTTTCACAATAAGAATCGTTATTCTGAAAGAACGGAGTGAGCTAATGATCTGAAATTTTGCACACAAGCTATTGATCTACACCTACATAAAATGGAACATAAATCTCGAGAAATAATTTCCAGTCCCGTCATGCTAAAATACCCCAGTGGAGTCCCTTTAATATATAAGCTATTAGAACTTACTTGTATTTTGAAAATGAATGTAAAGTAATTTACCATTGAAGTTGTCAGATTGAGCATACTGGCGACAAAGAGCATGAACCATCTAGATGGGTACACCTTGTATCCATTCTCTTCATCCGACGACGACGGTTTGGCATCCTGAGCTGTAGGATGAGTCATTGTCTACGTCTGCGTTGTCCCTATATATGTAATTTAAAGGCCCATTGTGCTTCAGAACTGATTTATTTCTAATTCTCAAAAGCTTTCTATTTTTGGTGTACTAATTTTATTACATAATATATAATATTTTCCAAAAAAGTTAAACTCATTGGCCTATTAGCTGAACCATCTTCTTCATCTGTTACCTTTTCGGCAATTACATGTAGTACTGTTTTAGTGAATTAGTATTTGAGCCACGCCATGACAAAACCAACATAATGGGTTTGCGACCAGCATGGATCCAGACCAGCCTGCGCATCCGTACAGTCTGATCATGATCCATGCTGTTCGCTATCAGTTTCTCTACTTGTTATAGGGTTTGAAAGCGAACAGCATGGATCCTGATCAGACTGCGCGGATGCGCAAGCTGGTCTGGATCCATGCTGGTCGCAAACGCACTATGTTGGTTTTGTCGTCACGCGGCTCAAATCATTTTACTTTTATCGCTACGTTGTTAAGGTCACAAGCGTCTAATATTCTTTTAATCCATTTTTAAAAGTTATAAAATTCATACTTTCCTTTTCTAAAGAAGTAAAAACTTATTTGTTTCTGAAGACTATTGTGCCTTTAAAATACATAATATTCTAATAAAAGTACTTCAAAATAAAGAAAAATTAAAATACAAGTATAATAAGAATAAATATGAATTAGTAAATTACAAATGGAAATAAGATATATATAACTGAATTGAATGCTCTTTGTCATAAAATTCCTTTCATAGAAAAACTAGAGATAGATTTCAAACTAGATAATGTTAATTGAATGCACCTAGTAATAATTACATTGCAGATTAATTTGAAGGTCCGTATATTAAATTTTTCAATAAAATAATTGACAGTTTATCAACATTCAATAAATAAAGAAAAATTCCTAATTTAGTAAATAGTGTCATATTTCAAAGTAACAATAACTTGAATGGTTCTTTTTGACGTTGGAATGAGACTATTATATGATAAAAGTGGTGCTTCAGGAAGTTAATTTATTACATGCTAATCGCATAATAATTTCATAATATCATTTTCGACATAGCTATTTCATGTCACAATCCATTGCATGTTAAATACTCTGGAAAGCTTCATTTACTGTACATCAAATTTATAATTTGGAAATAAGAATAATCAAAACAGATGTCCGTATCTTAAAGGCCTACTATGCCCCAGGAGTGTTTTTATTTTTACTTCTAATTCTTTTTTCATTTTGTGCTACTATAGATTAAAAAAAGTTACTAATTGCTCATCGTAAATTCACGAAGTTGAATTCGTGAAGTTCGTGAATTCATGACGTTGATATGTCCCAATCGGTCTTTCGTGAGAGCACCTTGCTATTAATCCTGAAGTTGTTGGTTTGAATCCCGTCAAGGGCAAGAATGGTGTTTATATTCTTTAATCAGCACTGGTGCGATTACGCAACTCTGGAAAAAGTCACCTGGTCCGCAAAAAATCCAACGAGATTTGATATATATGGAAATAAAACAAAAGAAAAAAATCAGTAAAAAGCAATACAATGTACATTACCGATTTCTGTATAAAATCCTTATGTTGCTACATTACTCATTCGCCTGTTTTATTTATAATCTATGACTTGTTTGATGTGCAGCTAACACAATTATGTATAATATCTGAATTGTTTCAACATAGATCCATTAGTCATATAATTGCTGCAGCTCACTTTTTTACGTGTATCATAAAAAATACACATAACACAGTAAGTACTTGAACACTTTCCGTAAGAATTTAAGTACCGCACGCCCTGAGTATCGGTTTTTATCCACCGTAATATATTCTATTCGTTCATTATTCTTTATATTCACTATTGTTTATGACTTGTAAACGTGCGATAAAAAGCAACATCATATGCATATTCTAACTAACACAAATCTTCACCGGATCAATACATGTGTGTTGTACTTTTTTCAGTTCGCGCTAAGGTTAAAAGTTATAACAAAATGAGGTTACAAGCCATTCAGACCATTTCACAAGCAATTTGAGTTTCACTCTGATGACTATCGGTATATTCAAATGTACTTAAAAGTGACAACGCCACATGTACAAAGTATACAGGGCAAAACAATTAAACGCACATGAAGCGTGACTGAGAACGCAAAACGTGTTCAATTTAAAATGAATTTATTTAATATATTATATTAAGTCGGTTGCTATCATTTTAATAGAGTTTAAGATCAATAACATAGACGTTTTCAACTACGCACGCTAAAACAGTAGCCAAGGTTATTCAAATAGATTTGAAAGAGCCTGCAGTTTACGCACTTCTTAAAGGAACTCCGCTGAGGCCCTTCAGCCTAAAATATATATTTTGAATGTCTAGCATAGGTTTGCTTGGGCACTTAAACAGAAAGATTGGCAAAAGATTTTTAAAATTGAAAATGAATAAAAAAAAACCGTAGTTTGTGCTATTCATAGCCCGATTTGAGTTGAGAAGCGGTGCCACGTTTTTAAATATTTTACACAATTAGAATTCATAATAAATAGTCATTCTGAAAAAAAAACTGAAAGAGCGAATGATCTGAAATGTTGCGGCTTGAACTACGATTGTGAAAAAAGTCAATGGAGTGAGTCCCTTTAAATATCACCAATGAATAATATCCCTTATATCCATTGTATTTAGAATACATTGTCCGGTATAAAATATTCTTAATAAAGGTCAAACAACAAGGTATAGTGTATGCAGGTATATCTAAAACAGATCTCAAATATACATAAATGTATATTTCAATCTGTCATGTAATATATATTTGTATGCAGTATCCAAAAGTCACTTCAAGTTAGCCCGGATCGTCTGTAAAATGCCTATACGTCCCCGTGAGAGTATGACGTGAAGACTCATTTAACTCATTACCGCATGAACATTTTGTGAAAAAATGGTTGTTTTCGTTGACAAGTCATCCGTTACAAGTTCAAATTGCTTCAATACTAATCAAACTTGGCACAAATGTTGACTGGACCATTGCTTTTGTAACAACGTACTTAGTCTTAAATTTCCTGTTGAAGCGGCTCAAACTTGCCAAAAATCACTATTTTGTGTTGATTTTGCCATCAAAATAGATTTCAAAGTAATGGATTGATCTATAGTCAAATGCTTTTCAGCGTTGCTTACACGTTACCTTATGATCGACCTGGAGTCATTTTCAGCAAGCCCAAAATTTTCTTGGCGATGAGGGGGCCTGCCGCCCACCTTCGAACCCCCAAACAGAAGGGGGCACATCTCCCTTCTGGCAACCCCCTGAAGTATCTTTTGGATAGGAGCGGCGTAGAAAAAGTGGTCACTTTCTTAAACACACATTTCTCAAACAAAAACAAGTATTGGGGGCCTAAATAAGGCATTTTTTCACCATTTAAGATAACAAAAAAGGGGGGGGGGTGAAAAGGGCGTTAAAAGGCGTGTATATCGATTAATGGGTTAATGTTCACATCATACAAACGTGTATATATACGAAATAGGTAGATAATGTTCGAAGGAAAGTACTCCCGTGCTTAAAACAGAATCAAATATATTTAACTATAATAGCATAAGATAGATTTGTTTAGTTTAATTGTCTCATTTTTCATGCATGCCTACAACACATAAAATCATATTATCCTAGAGATGTAAAATCCAATCTATGCAGATTTATTTGACACTTTTAAGTTTGTAAATTCATGCACAATAAAAAAGCAAAATACAAAAACAATCATACAATTCATTATATATTTATGGCTACATTATACTAAAAACAATACATTAAAGCATTACATAAAATTGAGCCGCGTCACGACAAAACCAACATAGTGGGTTTGCGACCAGCATGGATCCAGACCAGCCTGCGCATCTGCGCAGTCTGATCAGGATCCGTGCTGTTCGCTATCAGTTTCTCTACTTGTAATAGAGTTGGTAAGCGAACAGAATGGATCCTGATCAGACTGCGCGGATGCGCAGGCTGGTCTGGATCCATGCTGGTCGCAAACGCATTACGTTGGTTTTGTCGTGACGCGGCCCATTTAATGTTCACTGTCATACAAATGTGTATAATTATATAAGAAATAGTTAGGTAATGTCGAAGAAATATACTTCCGTGCTTAAAACGGAGTCCAATTATCACTAATATCATAATATTAAACTATAATGGCATTTATAAGATAGATCTGTTTAGTTTAATTGTCTCATTTTTCATGCATGCCTACAACACATAAAATCATATTATCCTAGAGATGTAAAATCTAATCTATGCAGATTTATTTGACACATTTAAGTTTGTAAATTCATGCACAATAAAAAAAAGCAAAAAAAGAAAGACAATCATACAATTCATTATATATTTATAGCTACATTATACTAAAAACAATACATTAAATTATTACATAAATTATGTCAAAACACTTATCGTGGTACTTTACTTTACAAGTGGTAAAATTGACTTCTTTACGTTCTTACGTTTATGAAGCACTGAGAGAAATAAAGAATTTAAATTCGACAAAGCAAATATTATTATATACTCTGAAATCTGATGGCAATTTTTGGCACAAAACATGCATCCTACCAGGATCGTGTAAAAGCAATATAAACTTTTCATTGTCTGTCACAATGTGGAAATTATAGTTAATTGAAAAGACTTTATCAAAGATTTCTCTTATAGCTTTACGATACAAGGAGCAATAAAAGTAAAACTTGTTCCTCATTCTCTATTGAGCCAGATTAGTCCAAGATATGGCGGGGTTTTATTGCAGTTTACTGTATCACAAAAAGAAACATTGCCATTATAAAACATATTGTTTGTAGTTTCTAAAGTTACGCAGCCCAAGCAAAAGTACAAAAATTCAAGATTGCCTCCAATATAAAGCCGCCAAAAAATGACAAAATATCATATAACTTTTGTTTCTTGAATTTTTACTTAACAACATTTGTACAATGTAGGTTTAATTGCACAGCATCAGATAAAATATGGCTAATTAATGAATCAATTAAGAAAAATTGACATTATGATACAGTAAATTTCAATAAAACCCCGCCATCTCTTGGACTAGATACATATTCTTTCGTGCGTATCTACCTATTTCAATGCGTAAACTAGTATATAGTTAAACGCCAGCCAAAAACTTTGCAAATGTTGACCATCACAATTTTGCAATACTCTTTCCATGAAAAACATGTTTAGATTACTTGTAATTTATTGAATTATGTCCCCTATAACCTTTTACATTGTATAGTATTAACAGATAATGATCTACAGAACTTTCTATTACTGATTTAACCATTGGTTAAGATACAGCATAAAATCTGATTTTCTAAGATGTAAAATCACTTTGTAGAAACTGCTGCAGCTCCTTTTAGCCTAAGAGCCAAGAACCATTTAATCAAAATGTTTGTCTAAATCTGAAACTTACACCATAGCAAGTATATATATAGGATTTGGATTTTTTGTAAACGAGAGACTAAATACTTGATCTGGTGTAAGTTTCAGTTTTTTTATTAAATGGCCTTTGAATCTTATAGGCTATTTAAGCTCATATCATAAAAAAAAAGAAAAGAAGCAAAACTTTCTGGTAACACAAGTTGAATTTCTTTGCAAGCTCAGTTGAAATCAAATTTTATAAAACATAATTGTTTTCATTAACACAAGAAAAAAATAATTCTGATTTCTTAACATTTAAACTTGGCCCTGTCAAGAGCATCAGCTCTGTTACGCTTTATATAAGATCAATCATTTAAAGAATGAAGGGGGCGGGCGGAAATACAATCAACGTTTTAAAAAAAAACCCTCATGTTTGACTTTTCTAAGTTCTAAGGAAAACACATCGGTTCTGAGGAATAACTACTATGCCTTTAAACTTTGCATGATCTAACCATTTGGTTACAGAAATATCTTCAGACAGAAATTTTTGGGGGTCACACCGACCTGAGTTATCTTCCCTTGAATTAAAAAAGTTTACTTATTTTTAGGGAAGATAATTCACAGTTTAGCAAGACCTCCTGGAATTTCAAATTCGATGCTGATAACTCAAAAGAGACTCACTGTCATGCGAAGTTTAAATATATTTTTTTATCATCAGTGACTTATAATACAGATATACATTTTGTAAATATAGCTCTGTGCTATCATACAGTTTTCATTTCATGTACAAATGAAACTGTAGCATGCGTCTTTTATTATTTAGTTCAAATTTATACAAATTGCACCTGTCTATTTAACTAACATATTGTCGTTTAGAACTTTCCAATAACGGGAAGTAAGTCATGATTAAGTTACAAATGGCGTTTGTTACAAATGGCGTCAGATGTGTCTGATTTGCAACCGGATGTCAATGACGTAGAATTCACGTGGAGGTTTTTTGGTCATTCTATTTGAACTAATTGTAAGTAGGCTAAGTTACTAAGTTATAAGGACGGAGACAAAACAATGTCTTGAAAACGTTGCATGTGTGTCAATAAATACTGTATATTTATCAATTAACTGACAAATGCGCCTGGAATTCAAAGATTTACAGAATTCAAAGATTTACAGAATTCAAAGATTTACAGAAGAAAATCTGTAGCAACGAGTATCCAATTATATCCGCGAAAAAAGGTGATATTTGTCTGTCATGTAGACTGAAACTCGTAAAAGGTTGTGCCACTGTCCAAATTTCTTGTTACTATAATTTTCAATCTGTGCCCTTCTTTCCCTCCAATAGTCCAAATAATTAGCCGTGAAAAAAAGTTTTAAAATTTAATATTTATCAGTGTGACATTTTAGAATATACATTTTATATTATCAAGGCTTTTTTTCAACGTAACATGAAAAATGTAAAATATATTTTAAGTGCAAGCGCAGTCATATCTAGCATTGAACATGTCTGACACACTAGAATTTGTCTTTAGTACACCAATGTACTGATGTTTTAAAAAATATCTGTTAGCTCAAGATTACATTATTTCTAGTTACAGTTCAAAAAGGAATACTTAAAGAGCAGTTTATGACCAAAACCTGTGGCTACAGTACTGAAGAAATTATTTAACAGAAAGGAGAAAGTGACCTGTGTGTCTGTAATTTCAGAAGAACCCAAATTAAAAAAAATGGTAATTGGTATTCACTATAATTATTTATGCTTGTACTACCTG